CTTAAACTTCCAAACCTATGACTGTACTATGAAGCAGCAGCATTGACACAAGCAAGTGATTAGTTTGGAAGGATAAAGACTAGAATATTGAATATAGAAAGTTATGATCTTGAATTTGGTTGGCATGCATATTTATTTTATGAAAATTAAGTGGATAAAGTATTCAACAGCCATATACTCAGAAACTTCTTGATGAGAGTATGGAAGAAGCACCGTCTTAAATGGGATTATAAAATACCGTTGGGGTTGAATCTTGGTCATATCATACGGAATATAAATATAAAGTCACTTGGGGGGGGCGTTATACAAAGAAATACTTTTTAAGGATGGGGGCAGATGGCAACTAAAGACATTAAATACACTGTTGGAAGAAGGGATTAATTTAACTTGGTTACAGTATAGTCAACTTCAATTGAGATGGAAAGAAGATCAAAAAACTGGTTTAATGTTGCATGAAGAAGAATTGGTAAGACAGATAAAAGAGAAAGGCCCAATGCATATTAAGAGGGTCTATAAAGTTTTGCTAGAAAGAGATTCAGAAAATGAATTGGTTAAAGATTGCATGATAAAATGGGCGCAAAACTTTGCAGAACCAGTTATGATGGAAACGTGGAAAAAATATGGGTCCAGAATGTTAAATTTACGCAGTCACAGAATTTGAGGGAAAATTTTTACAAAATGTTTTATAGGTGGCATTTAGATCCTAAGAAATTGTCGTGCATGTATCCTAATGTTCAACCAAAATGTTGGAGATGTGATTGCTTAGATGCTACATATTATCATATATGGTGGACTTGCAAGAAAGTGAAGGCTTTCTGGATAAAAATTTGGTGGGTTATGCAAAATGTTTTGAAGAAAAAACTTCAATTTTCTCCTCAATTGTTTTTATTGGGTATAGTTAAGGACTTTTCACTGGGTGAAACAAAATTGATACTGTATATGGTGACAGCAGCTAGGTTACTGATTGGTCAATATTGGAAAAAGGATGTTATGCCCAGGGCCAGATTTAGATGAAAAGAGGCCCTAGGCTATTCCACTTACGAGGGCCTTTCACCTATAGTGAAAGTGTAATTTTAATTTTGCTAACAATTTGAATGTAGGCCCCTCTTGATCTTGAGGCCCTAGGCTGAAGCCTAGTTAGCCTATAGGAAAATCCGGCCCTGGTTATGCCTACTATTGAAGAATGGACTTTGAAGGTGGCCAGTTTTGCAGAAATGGTGAAGATATCAGCATACTTAAAAGACCGGACTCAAGAGACCTATGTATGGGAGTGGAAGAAATGGATAGGTTATGTGCAGAATAAATATCAAACTAGGAAGTACCAGATAGCTTTTAGCTGAATGTTGTGTAGAAATGTATAGTACACAGGGGGTAGAATAGATGGGCGGTAAAGTATTATACAATATGATTTGGATTTGGATTTCATCTTGGGGAAGTCATGGGGGGACAGGAGGGTTAGGGAGGGTTAGGGAGGGAAAGTGGGGGGGAAATGGGAAAATTTGTATTTGTAAAACTTTTTCAATAAAAAAAAAAGAAAGTTGTTAAGTGTGTTTTGCCCCATTTACATCCTTTCAGTTGTTAAGTGAATCACTGTGGTTGTTAAGTTAGTAACACTGTTGTTAAGTGAATCTGTCTTCCCCATTGTCTTTGCTTTTCAGAAGGTTGCAAAAGACGATCACCTGACCTCTAAACACTGTAAATCAGGGGTGTCAAACAGACTCAGATGCGTCACGTGCTGGCCATGCCCACCCCCGTTTTAGCGAAGGGGGAAAAGTTGTGATACATCACGTGATGACATGTCATCGTGAGTTTGACACCACTGCTGTAAACCATCATAAATATGCCAAACATCTGAATTTTGATCACATGTCCATAGGAATGCAATGGTTGTAAGTGTGAAATATGGTCATAAGTCTCTTTTTTCAGTGCTGTTATGACAACAGTAAATAAACTGTTGTTAAGTGAAGTACTACCTGTACAAATTTCCTTCATTTTTTGGTTGCATTTTAATAAGGAGACTGAGACATAATTATATATGGTTATTATCAGTGGTAGGATCCTGCTGGTTTAACAACTGGTTTGGTGATCGGGCTTTGTGCATGCACAGTTTTACAAAAACGTACCTTGTGCGTTACTGCTGGGGAGTAACACAGCTGAGGCGCGGTTCGCTCCCAGCTACCAGTTCACCCGAACTGGTCTGAACCAGTAGAATCCCAGCCCTGGTTATTATACCATTGCTACAACAATAAATCTAAGCCTTTTGCACAGCGCTGTATGTGCCCTTCCTCAAGAAGTCATTGTTCACTCTAGTTGTTTTTGATAATTATAAAACAGTCCCCAACTTTCTCTTTCTGGGGGAAGTTGTGGATCCGCAGTTATGAAAGGCCCTGGAACACATAGATTATCAGAATTAGTTTGATAAGGTACATTGGTAAGGTAAAGGTAAAGGTTCCCCTTGCACATATGTGCTAGTCATTCCCAACTCTAGGGGGTGGTGCTCATCTCCATTTCAAAGCCAAAGAGCCAGCGCTGTCCGAAGATGTCTTCATGGTCATGTGACCGGCATGACTAAATGCCAAAGGTGCATGGAACGTTGTTACCTTTCCACCAAAGGTGGTCCCTATTTTTCTACTTGCCTTTTTTATGTGCTTTTGAACTGCTAGGTTGGCAAAAGCTGGGACAAGTAACGGGAGCTCACCCCATTATGTGGTACTAGGGATTCGAACTGCTAAACTGCCGACCTTTCGATCGACAAGCTGAGCATTTTAGCCACTGAGCCATTGCATCCCTTTGTCTCTTTGTCCATCTGGCTGTACTAAAACCAGATTAAGGTCATGCAGACCTTCTTAGTGATCTCTCAGCTGTCTTTTGGACCACTTGCAGGAGTTAAGTATGGGTGAACTGTTTGCCTGCAGTTGTCATCATTCTTCGGGGGCAAGTTTCAGAAAAGCTTTCTCTTTGGGAACAGGTTTCCATTATACCCATTGTTCCATCATATTCAGAGTGAACTCTGCTGGCACTTAGGAAAGCCAGTAACCTCTGGCTATTTCAGAAAGCCTTTGGGGGCTGATAAAATAATGGAAAATGTTTATTTATTTATTTATTTATTTATTTATTTATTTATTTTATATTGGATTTCTATACCGCCCTTCTCCCTGAGGACTCAGGGCGGTGTACAGCCAGATTAAAAAACATGCAGAACAAATATTAAAAACAATTAAAAGATATATAAATTTGGCCCAATTAAAACTCATTTACCAATTAAAAACGTTTAAAACATTTAAAAACAGTTAAAAATTTCATCTTAAGCCAGCCCGGCTTGTTTAAATAAATGGGTTTTAAGGGCGCGACGGAAGGCACTGAGGTCTTGGATTCTCCTTATCTCTGGGGGGAGCTGATTCCAGAGGGTGGGAGCCCCCACAGAGAAGGCTCTCCCCCTGGGGGTCACCAGCCTACATTGTCTGGCTGATGGCATGTGTTGTTATTGAGCATGTCTTTCCTCAGAATGTTGCTGAAGATGATGCCACCACAACTGTCTGTTTTATGGTTTAATTTTTTTTATTGTATTGGAGTAGCTGTCACTTAAAGGATTCAGTGGCTCAGTGACTAAGATGCTGAGCTTGTCAATCGAAAGGTCGGCAGTTCAGTGGTTCAAATCCCTAGTGCTGTGTAATGGGGTGAGCTCCCGTTACTTGTCCCAGCTTCTGCCAACCTAGCAGTTCAAAAGCATGTAAAAAAAAAGCAAGTAGAAAAATAGGGACCACATTTGGTGGGAAGGTAACAGCATTCTGTGTGCCTTTGGCATTTAGTCATGCCAGCCACATGACCATGGAGACGTCTTCAGACAGTGCTGGCTCTTTGGCTTTGAAACAGAGATAAGCACCGCCCCCAAGAGTCAGGAATGACTAGCACATATGTGCGAGTGACCTAGCTGTCACTTAGAACCAACTGGTATTGAAACACTATTAGTCTAAATCAGGGGTCTGCAAACTTACACACTCAAAGAGCCGTTTGGACTCGTTTCCCACAGAAAAGAAAACACCAGGAGCCACAAAACCCTTCCCGTGCCTGACTATTTCTTGAGCGGCCACAAAACTAGCATATGTAGTTGAATTAAATGTTCCGTTTTCTTCTGAAACTTTTCTTTTCTTGGATTTATCCATGTTTGGCCTACCCGGGGTTGAAAAGCTCAATAAATTGCGTGCCAGCAGGTATCACACATTGGCGGTTGTGACGCACATTTTTAGTGACAGGGAGCCACAGCAGAGGGGTGAAAGAGCCACATGCGGCTCCAGAGCCGCAGTTTGCTGACTCCTGGTCAAAATAAATAAACTTAGGATTGTTAATTGAGTATCACATTTTAATCAGGCAAAATAAATCATTTACTGAGTGGGATGGATGGATGGATGGATGGATGGATGAAGTCAGCCAATCATCAACCACAATAGGAAAAAAAATGGACACTGGAAACGGATATTGAAGCTGCAATCTTATCAAAAGTTTCCTGGAGTACAGCCCATTGGCTTCCTAAAATTTGATCTGTGTGACTATTTAAATCCTCATAGATAATAGGACCAAGCACATACATCTTTTCTTCCTGTTCTCCGTGTATTTAGCTGGTAAATCTATAAAATCAAGATAAGCACCATCACTTGACTCAACATAAAACTGTTCATATGATCTGGGAATTTAAATCCAGACTTGCATAGGAAATTTACCTATGTACAATTACATCCTCCCACCATTGCATGCCTGATCTCTAAATACTCTAAGGCTGGGAACTGAAAAGAGGTGAATCTAGTTCAGAAATCTCATTTTGTATTAATTTAAAATGTTCTTTTATAGAGCTAACTGCTGGAAATGGCATTTAGGCTAGATAAATTAACACCAATAGCTTCTTGAAGCTAAAGGAAAAGCTGAAAATGGTTCATTCCATTCATTGTTTAGAATTTATATGGTTTTTAAATTTGTTAGCTGAATGCCATAAATATCAAAAATCTTTAGTGCTTTATTCTGAGCAGTTCCCTATTATTTAATTCAGGTTTCACTAGAATGATATAAATTTTTGGAAAAAAAATACAACTCAGTAAGCCAGCACTGGCAGCCAGGATGGAGAAGATCTCTACAGCCACCATATATTTTCCCTTAGTACTTAAATAAGCTGGGAAAAAAGACAACCAAACAACACAGAATATTAGCATGCTGAAGGTGATAAACTTGGCTTCATTAAAAGTATCAGGCAGTGTCCTGGCTAGAAAAGCTGCTATGAAGCTCACGATAGCCAAGAAACCCATAAAGCTGAGGACACAGTAAAACATGACATTTGAGCCTTCGTTACATTCTAATAAAATTTCTGCAGGCAAAGAATGCACGTCAAGATCTGGGAACGGAGGAGCGACAGCCAACCATGTTATACAAATAATTATTTGAAGAAAAGAGCAGGAAAAAACAATGGAGTTGTCCAGGGGTTTTCCAACCCACTTCCTCATTTTGGAATTTGGCTTGGTGGCTTTAAAAGCGAGAATCACAATTACAGTTTTAGCCAAGACACATGACACAGCTATCGTAAAGATGATGCCAAAAGCACTTTGTTGAATAAGACACAACACCTTCTCAGGCTGGCCAATGAACAGTAAAGCACAAAGGAATGAGAGCAGGAGAGAAACAAGGAGAGTATAAGTAAGATTCCTGTTGTTGGCTTTGACAATGGGAGTATCTTGGTACTTTATGAAAATTCCAAGCACCAATGCTGTGATAAAAAAAAATGAAAGTGCAAGAACGGTTAAACTAATCCCTAAAGATTCTCTGTGTGACAAATATATAATTTCTTTCAGAAGACATCCATCCTGTCCATGATTTGGAAATTGTCCTTCTGGGCACTGAATGCAATCATCCATGTCTGAAAGAGAATTCATGTCTAGTATCAATATGTAATATTGCCAAAGCCCTAAAAAAAATCAATTAAGATACATCTAAAAGAGACAACTTTAGTCTTTTCCATCACTGAATTATGTGGCGGGGAAGTATTGCTTTACAAATTGGAATGTTTAGTAACCCCATTGTATAAGTCACTACCATATATCTGAAAGGCCTAGAGAAGGGAGAAATTATGATTTTTTAAAAGCACATTCTTGGTATTTTGCTCTGTCTATTTTATATGTAATGCATTTGACTCATGTTATATGTGTAATCTGGTTTCTTATAGTTTTAACAATATACACAAAACAATGCATATCAGAGATTATCTAAGGGACCGTCTCTTGCTGATCACATCTACCTGACCAGTGGTGAAATTCATTTTTTTTCACTATCGGTTTTGTGGGCATGACTTGGTGGGTGTGGCTTGGTGGGCATGGCAGGATTTTGCAAGGATACTGCAAAATCCCCATTCCGTCCCCACTCCTGGGGGAAGGATATTGCAAAATCTCCATTCCCACCCCTCTCTGAGGCCAGCTAGAGGTGGTATTTGTCAATTCTCCAAACTACTCAAAATTACTGCTACTGGTTCTCTGAAGTACTCAAAATTTCCTCTACTGGTTTTCCAGAACCTGTCAGAACCTGCTGAATTTCACCCCTGTACTTGACCCATTAGAGGCAGGGAATGCTGTGGTTCCCATCCCCAAAGGAGATACACCAGGTGGGACACAGAAGAAGGGCCTTCTCCATGGTGGCTCCCTCTCTCTGGAACATCATTCCCCCAGAGATTAGAATGCCCCCCACTCTAATACTCTTCCAGAAGGTACTGAAGACTTGTTTCTGCCAGCGGGCCTGGAGAACCCAGAGTGGGATGGAGCCCATTAAATGGGTCATGTGACCTGCTGCCACTAGGGCAGGAAGTGGGGGGTGATTTTATTATATTAATTTATTTGATTCTTTTTTATTAGTTTTATTGTTTTAAATGAGGTTTTATATTCTGTAAGCTGCCTCGAGTCGCCATGGTGAATAACCACCAATAATAAATAAATAAATAAATAAACAAACAAACAAACAAACAAACAAACAACAAACAAACAAACAAATAAATAAATAAATAAATAATACAGGACTATATCTTCATCTGCAGATGCTACCATCATGATTTAACTGAACAACTCTTAAAATATAAGGTCAGCTTTGCACCTTATATATATCTATCAATATGTGTGTGTGTGTGTGTGTGTTTGTGTGTGTGTGTGTGTGTGTGTGTGTTTGTGTGTGTGTGTGTGTGTGTGTGTGAGAGAGAGAGAGAGAGAGAGAGAGAGAGAGACAGAGAGAGACAGAGACAGAGACAGAGACAGAGACAAAGAGACAGAGAGAGGGGGAGAGAGAGGGGGGGAGAGGGGGGGAAGGGACAGAGACAGAGACACACACAGAGAGAGAATATTTGTGGTCAATAACCAGAAAACAAAACTTAGTTTTCAAGACAGTGTTGACTTTTGGTGGAGTAGTAAAGACTGGTTTGTCATTGCCTTCTTCCCAAGACCAGAGAGTCAATGTCACATAGCTGATTTCATATCATAGGGTGGGACTAAAACTCATGGTCTCCTAGATTTTAGCCTGGTGCCTTATCCACTATAACAAATTGGTTCTCATATTTGTATTTGTATCTGTATCTATCTCAGTCCTACACAACAAATATTTTTGACCCATCAATGCATTAGGTATCTTACCCTCCTGATTTGAAATCTTCCCTTTTGGACAAGGAAAGCAATCATAGCAGCAAAATGGCAGCCCTTCTTTTTTTCTCTTACTAAATCCTTTAAAGCAGTTATCATTGCATATTGAAACAGGGCACGTCTAAAGATCAAATAAAACAAAAACAATGATAGACATATCTCAATTCATGTTGCAGGGAAAAAGTGACTAGTTAAACATAAGGTGTGACAAGATGCAAAAGAAAGATGAAGGATGGACTGACCTGATTTGAATGTGTATGTGCTGTTTGGTCTGGATGAAAGGAAGGCTATTACAGAGAAATTTGTAGTTAGAAGGGCATAATTTAAGATTTGGGTGGCACAGGGTTAATGTGAATATTATGGGACATGGTGGCTCAGTGGCTAAGATGCTGAGTGTGTCAATCAAAAGGTCAGCAGTTCAAATCCCTAGTGCCGCATAACGGGGTGAGCTCCCATTACTTGTCCCAGCTTCTGCCAACCTAGTAGTTTGAAAGCATGTAAAAATGCAAGTAGAAAAATATGGACCACCTTTGGTGGGAAGGTAACAGCATTCCGTGTGCCTTTGGCATTTAGTCATGCTGGCCACATGACCCCGGAGACATCTTTGGACAGTGCTAGCTCTTTAGCTTTGAAATGGAGATGAGCACAGCCCCCTAGTGTCAGGAACAACTAGCACATATGTGTGAGGGGAACCTTTATCTTAATGTGAATATTAAAAATAAGTTTGTTAGATTTACTGAAAATACAGAAGGAATATAAACTCTAGGCTGTGGTTTAAAATACCTTTGTAGCTCTCAGCACAGGAAGCATTTGATAGAAGAGAAATGCATACTAAGTGGTTGACTTACTTTGATATATGAGAATTTTGTCAAAGAAAATGTAGAGTAACAGCAGAAGAAAAACTGATGGTAGAATGATGTTCATGTCAATGGGTTTTATACATACAGTTAGTATAAATATTTAAAGTAGAGAAAAGAACTTTTTGGTCTGAACAATATAAGACTTAATTTGAGATGAAATTTCTGTCACAACATCATCCACACCATAACTCACTCTCCTTCATTTTAGGATTGGCTGTGAGCAAACCAGGTTTTTTTTTCTTTGATGAAAAGACCTGGAAACCCAAAACAAATTCATTGACCCATACCTGATTGAACCTGCTAGGCCACACAATATTATTCTCATCAATGATGAATGAAGTATTTGATGAAATATGCGGGTCTATCTTTCCAACTTTGACTCTAAGAAAAGATTGGTTTGGGAACGTCTTCCAGTTGATAATATCAAATGCAGCTATTTTTTCACCATTTTGGTCAAAAGAAATATTTTCTCCAGCACTGTTGTTAAATGAAACTTTTCTTAGAAAGTGATGTAGCTAAGATACAAAGGGAGAAAATTCATAAGGATAACTATTTAATAAGTGAGAGGCAAATGCTATTTTTAAGAAGGAAGGAAGGAAGGAAGGAAAGAAGGAAGGAAGGAAGGAAGGAAGGAAGGAAGGAAGGAAGGAAGGAAGGGAAGGAGGGAGGGAGGGAGGGAGGGAGGGGATTGGATTGGAGGGAGGTGTGCAGGAGGTACAAACAGAGATATACAAGGTACAAACAGGGATGATAAACTATTCTATTAACAATGTATGAGGTATCAATAGTATAACAGCTTTACTGAATCTTTCATTACTGAATTTGCTATTCCTTTTGTTAGGTAAAGGTAAAGGTTCCCTTCACACATACATGCTAGTCATTCCTGACTCTAGGGGGTGATGCTCATCTCTGTTTCAAAGCCGAAGAGCCAGTGCTGTCCAAAGACGTCTCCGTGGTCATGTGGCCAGCATGACTAAACACCAAAGGCGCACGGAACTCTGTTACCTTCCCACCAAAAGTGGTCCCTATTTTTCTACATGCATTTTTTATGTGCTTTTGAACTGCTAGGTTGGCAGAAGCTGGGACAAGTAATGGGAGCTCACCCCGTTACGTGGCACTAGGGATTCAAATAGTTGATCTGCCGACCTTTCGATCGACAAGCTCAGCATCTTAGTCACTGAGCCACCGCATCCCTTATTCCTTTTGTTAAGGCTGTGCAAAATATTGAAGAGGTCCTTTCTTTTGTTTATGCTTTGGGTAAAAAGCCTTTTTTGAAACCACAGGGCCTCTCATTTCTAAAGAGTATACCAAACCTTCCCTATTGATCTGTTTTGTGTCATTCTGACAGATTTTCCAGTTGAGGAGCTTTCAGAATGTGGTTTTCAAGAGTTAATCTAGGTTTTAATTGATCTTGTCACGGTATAGTCTACTACAGCTATCATGATATTGTTGAATTCCATGACTGTAAAGATATCTAAGTTGGTACAGATACCGAATCCATGCAATGAGATACAACTTGTAACTTTTCTGAATCCTAAAAAAAATCTCAAGTGTCCTCATTCCCATCCTAGGAAGATCTGGGAGACAAGCCTTGCTGAGGAGTTGAATCTATTGGGATCTTGTAGCAAATCCTTCTCAGTGGCATCACCTGTCCCATGGAACAACTTGCTTTCATATATAAAAGACTACTTCTTCCTAAAGAGCATCCATAAAGAAGTAAAATTTTAGCTTGGATAAATTATGTAGTTATTTTGGGTCCACATATCCTTAGATACATAAGAATTTGAAAGGTATACAAGAAAGATTTGAAACCTTGTTTATTCAACAAACCACACCATTTGGCGGAAGGGTGATAAACATATGCCAAGAATGGTGATAGGGCTGTTTCAGTATAAATTGTTTAGTAAAGCTATATGGTAGATAGGTTGAAGTTTGTATACTTGTAAAAGATTATTTTAGCTGTTGTGAATATATTGTGGTACAAATTAATTTTAGAACAGAACAGAACAGAACAGAACAGAACAGAACAGAACAGAACAGAACAGAACAGAATAGAATAGAATATCAGAGTTGGAAGGGATCTTGGAGTCTTCTAGTCCAAACCCCTGCTTAGGCAGGAAACCGTACACCACTTCAGACAAATGTTTATTCAACATCTTCTTAAAAACTTCCAGTGTTGGAGCATTCACAACTTCTGGAGGCAAGTTGTTCCACTTATTAATTGTTTTAACTGTCAGGAAATTTCTTCTTAGTTCTAGGTTACTTCTCTCCTTGATTAGTTTCCACCCATTGCTTCTTGTCCTGCCCTCAGGTGCTTTGGAGAATAGCTTGACTCCCTCTTCTTTGTAGCAGCCCCTCAGATATTGGAACATTGCAATGTTCCAATCATGTCTCCCCTAGTCCTTATTTTCATTAAACTAGACATACCCAGTTCCTGCAACCGTTCTTCATATGTTTTAGCCTCCAGTCCCCTAATCATCTTTGTTGCTCTTCTCTGCACTCTTTCTAGAGTCTCAACATCTTTTTTACATCGGGGTGACCAAAACTGAATGCAGTATTCCGAGTCTGGCCTTACCAAGGCATTATAATATAATATATTTTATTTGGGTTGTTTTCATTTCATGTCCCATTTCTTGTAATATTCATTGCTGTTCATATCTTATTTGTTAATTATTTAATTGTAGTTGGATGCCTGAGGCAAAATATCAAAAATTAAAAATTCCTTCCTTATTGCTTTAGGATCTACTCTGCTGGTTAGAATCTATCCCTGTGACGATAATGTATATTTCTTTTTACTATTTTCTTGTTTTTAATCTGTTTATTTGCTGTGAACAGCTCCTATTATTTTTATTAATAATAACAGGAAAAGGCTAATACTTCTTTGTACAGGCAAAAAATAGAAGACTCTTCTCTTTGATTTGTTTAAGATTGCAATTCAGCTCTAGCCTTCCTTCAATAACATCAAGTCCAAAGAAACAGGTCATCTGTCTTGATCCTAACAGTTCATGAAGGAAACCAAGCCACCATGGCATCCCTTAGGGCTGCAATTGTTTAATGTTTGCTAAATGGTTAAAGTAGACATCATAATAAGCATTCTAATAATCAGTTAATGTAAGAAGAATCTGAGAGCTGGAATGAATGGTTCTTTGTACTGAGTTGTTTCCAGTGGTGGGATTCATTTATTTTTTACTACTGGTTCTGTGGATATGGCTTGGTGGGTGTGGCTTGGTGGGCATGGCAGAGGAGGGATACTATAAAATCTCCATTCCCACCCCACTCCAGGGGAAGGATACTATAAAATCTCCATTCCCTCCCCACTCCAAGAGAAGGTTACTGCAAAATTCCCATTTCCTCCTGATCAGCTGGGGCACAGGAGGCAGAGAATAGATGGGGGCAGGGCCAGTCAGAGGTGGTATTTACCGATTCTCCAAACTACTCAAAATTTCCGCTACTGGTTCTCCAGAACTGATCAGAACCTGATGAATACCACCTCTGATTGTATCTCATCCATTTGACATAAGAAATGAAAGGCTGTGGGGCAAATAGAAAGGAAAAAAGACCTTCATCCAATCTAATACCTTATTTCCTAAATAATTTCAAACTTGTTACATGTACCTATTTTCCCTTGGGTTTTACCTGCCGTGAATGTTGATTGAGAAGCTTCTGCTCTTTTGACAATGTGTGTTGTTTGGAATTCATCCCATGTATTAAGTGCAGGGCGTGTGCCACAGTATGGACGGCATTGTAGATACTATAGCTGTGAGCAGTCATCCTCGTTTCAAAAATAGACTCAGAGAGAGTGTTCAGTTTCTCCTCTCCAGTGCAGGTCCTCTCAGGTCTGTCCCTTGAGTTTCGGTTAGACAAGGAGCATCCAAACACGCTTTCCCAAAATAGCTGGAAAAAGCCATCCTCTTTTTCTGAGCTAGGTTTCCTGGTCTGAAGAAATGTTTGGAATCCTGATATCTCCTCAGAGTGAACTGCCAAAGCGAGAGCACCGTGAAGGAAGTCTATGCCCGTATTCCTCTGAAAAGGGAGGGAGGCGAAGTCCATCTGGGCTGTCATGATCCAAACTTTACTTTCAGCCTTAGTTGATCGGTCATATTCTGAAAGTGCGATGAGCACTCTGAAAACGAGCATCGTCTGCAGTTCTCCATGTGTGAATAAGACGTTGTAACTGCTCCGCTCAGTGATCTTATAGGTTTCCACCCCCTTTTCTACAAGATTAAAGGTGTTACTAGAAAAGCTGTGCTTGGGTAACTTTTGAATGAAATCAAAGCAAATGCCGCTCTGAGAAAAAAAAGGAAGGACTTTCTGCACAAGCCTTTCTCCGTTCTCGTCTTCGATATAAAGCACCCCTATCCACGTCCACCTGAAATATAGAAGTAAGTGAAGAATTCCATTGTATTGATGGGTCCAGTTTGGAAACATCTGTTGAACAAAAGCTTCCTCGCATTTGTTATCCATCGCTGGAGAAGAACCATACATGAGCTAAAGGAGATTTGAAAAGGAGATCAGGTTTGCAAAATACATTAATATGCATGTGTGTGTATGTGTGTTTGTGCATGTGTGTATCAGTGGTAGGTTTCAAAATTTTTACTACTGGTTCTGTGGGCGTGGCTTGGTGGGTGTGGCTTGGTGGGCACATCAGGGGAAGGATACTGTAAAATCTCCATTCCCTCCCCACTCCAGGGGAAGGCTACTGCAAAATCCCCATTTCCTCCCAATCAGCTGGGACTCAGGAGGCAGAGAATAGATGGGGGTGAGGCCAGTCAGAATTTTTACTACCAGTTCTCCAAACTACTCAAAATTTCTGCTACCGGTTCTCCAGAACTGGTCAGAACTTGCTGAAACCCACCTCTGATGTGTATATAGATACACACACAAACACATGCACACAAATTAACACAAATCCAAGATGCATAGAGAAATAAAACAGAAAATATACTTATATGCAAATAAAAAGCAAATTTACCACATATGCACTATAAACTATTATAATATTATTGCTTATTGAAACAGAGGAAACCCAGAAAATCCATCCAAATTTGATTTTTTTTAAAAAAATGTGGTGCCTGCCTCTGATGTCTCGTTACTTTAATTTTATCTGCAAATTTTTTTTTCCTAATGTGGCAATTAGTTACAATTTCCTAATGTGGTCGTATTAATCCACATTTCAACTGTTCTTGAGTTTTTCCGGTGTTCGGTAACTATTATAGTCACCATTACCTGTTCAGGCTTCAAAGGTAATGTATAAATGCACACCTCTCAAAACATGACTGAAATTTTATGTATACCTTTGTTGCGATCACATTTATATATGAAGCAATAACTTAGATACACTAAACATATTTGCTTTTGGTTTTTCAGCAAATGCAAGAAATACTTAATTAAAACTACCTCAAAAAAAAAACCTGCCATTCCCAGGAGGCAACCAATATAGTGTGATTAGCGCTCACTGGAATATACCTATTTGCTTATCTGGCAACACTTGTTCTATGGAACAAAGTAATAAACTAATATAGCTACTGAACCCTAGAATACCTTACATAAAAGCAATATGCGCAGAGAGACAGCAGACTGCAAAATAGAATGAAATATTTTAAATATTACTTTGCTGCTGTTATGTGAACAGTAGGGAGAAAATTAATTTTCAGTCTCTGGATTGTTTATCAAATGGGGAAAAAAAGGCCAAACTACTATCTGAATTAAGAGATTTCAGGAACTTGAAAATATTTTTGTCTAGGAGTTAAACGCAAGGATCAGTGAAAGCACAGCATTTGATTTAGGATTAAGAAATCCAATTGCCGTCATTTATTCTCTCTCAAAAAAGTTCCTCTCCACACCACCATAAAATAAAACTATGATTTTAGCTACTGAAATTAAATAGGTAATATATTCATTATTTTTAAGCTTGAAATTTGCTCTTATAAATCAACGCAGTAAGACTAATTTTGGGAACACTCCATTTTTATTTATTGATGGTACATATTTCACCAAAAATCTTATACAGAGAAGGGGATGGCTTTATTGCAGGAACACCATAAAAAACCCCACCAACCAACATTTGGATGGATAAATTGGATTTATATGTGCTAATCTGACAGGAGTCAATGGTCAATGATGTATAAACTTCTAGTAAAGTTCTAGTATAGAAAACCAAGAATTTAAGAGCCTGATTACAATACTGGAAAGAGTACTGAACTACAGTTTATAAAATGTGATTATCAGAAATTTACACTCTGAGAGAGCAGAAATTAGTAATTATTTGGAAAACTATTTGGAAAAAATCAAGTGCAATTCCATCTCTCTCTCTCTCTCTCTCTCTCTCTCTCTCTCTCTCTCTCTCTCTCTCTCTCTCTCTCTCTCTCCTCCCTCCCTCCCTCCCTCCCTCCCTCCCTCCCTCCTTCCCTCTTCCTCTCCCTCTTCCTCTCCCTCTCTCTCACACACACATCTATCTCTCATATGTCAATTCTATCATCTATCTATCTATCTATCTATCTATCTATCTATCTATCTTCTATCTATCATCTACCTACCTACCCACACATCCACCTATCCACCCAACCCACCATCCATCTACCTACCTACCTACCAACCCACTCACCCTCCTGTCCACCCACCCACCCACCCACCCATCCATCCATCCATCCATCCATCTATCTATCACCTACCCACCCACCCACCCACTCATCCATCCATCCATCCATCAATCCATCCATCCATTCATCTTCCTACTTGCAAAACACTGCTTTACTAGATGAAGGTAGAACTGTACTCTGCCTTCACGACTATCCTGTTCTTTGAGATCAGTCCTTGCATTCAAAACATCAAATCAAGTTAAATGTCCACTTCATATTTAAATTTCAGATGGCAAGATTGTGTCAAAACAAAGTGTATTTAATCATGTTTTTAATGAATTCCAGAAATGTATATCCTACTTCTTCAACTAATGTACTCAAATAAATTTACTTAGAAAATGAACATAGTAACTTTTTTTAAAAAAAAAAATAGCAATAAAAAATTACAGCAAAACAAAAAACCACAATGGAACTGCCAAAATGTCATCATTAACATGTATACATAACAGTGCATAATCAACAAGACACAAAAAAGAAAGATAATCATGAACATAGAACAATTGAAATTTAGTAGTGAAATACTATTAGTGAGGAAAGAAAGTTGGACACCGAGAAAGCCCAGGAGAATCTAGAAAGTACTTTACCTGTGGAACCTTGTAGATACCTAGAATGGTGGACATATGGCGGCAGACATTGGAATCAGGTCCTCCAATGACTGCAGCTGCATTGCTTCTACTATCACACTTGTAGTTTGGAATGAACTTCTTCCAGGTAGAGAGAAGTTCCATTGAGGCAAGATAAGTTGAGCTTGCACTCAAGTGACTGTTATAGATCAGGAACCCCAGAGTGATGTTTGGCAAGATGTGAGGGTTTTCATTGATTTCTTTTACCGCAAACGCCAGAGCCAGAATATGTTGGTAATTCTGAGCCAAAATCCTATAAAAGCGGATGTATTATTGGGAAAAAACACTGTGATAAAAACAAAGGCATCATCTAGAATGATAGTTTTTTTTGTTTGTTTGTTTCGAACAGTATCTATTTTGATAGCCAACACATCATTTTAAGTAAAGGCAAAAAAAGATATATTTAGGTTCATATGGCAAGGACAAGAATCAAGGACAGATTTTAACCCCCCCCCCCAAGATGCAAAGAAATGAGGAGACTTGGCATTGCCTGTTTTGAAAATGCATTTTTCAACTTGCTCTTTGATTTGGATGGAAGAATTCATGTTGCTGGAAAGTAAAATAAGTTTAGCACTAGAAGAGCACAATACATACAGTAGTGGCCAAAATTGTGGAAACTTTTTGGGAAAAGTGTATTTTCTAAAACTAGCTAATAACACCACTTTTTTTTTTTTATTAGTACCATAAAATTATATATCAATGGAAAGATAATTTAATCAAGGATGTAATGCAATAACTTTTATGAAGGATTAAGAAGAAAAGTGAAACACGTAGAAAAAACAAGATGTACAAAAATTATCACCATGTCAGTTAATACTTAGCTGGGTAACTTTTTGCATGAATTATGGCCTTACAACATCTTCTCATGGAGTGAACTAAGTCTTTTAGTTCTGCAGCTGTTATAATGTGAGACCAAGATTGAATGATTGCTTCTATTAACTGGGTTTTATTGCTGGGTCACTTCTGACTAACAAGTTTCTTTAGTTGGCTCCATATATTTTCAATTGGGTTAAGGTCTAGGCTATTCCAGCAGTGGAATATGATTATCTTTAAACTCCAAAAAAAAAAAAAAAGTGGTGTTATTAGCCATCAAACCTCAAAAATACACTTTCCTCAAAAGATTTCCATGATTTTGGCCACTACTGTAGTTAGATCAACTAGTTAGATTTTCCATCCATGTTCAACCCCCCCTTACCTATTGTGAGACTAGCCAAAGTTGATTAAGTGTGTTCCCTGAAACTACATGTATTCAAATAAAGGAAATAATACAGATGGTGTGCCAAGAGGACAAGGCAATATCCATGACTGTTGGGTGCCTTCATACATGAGAAGGCTTGTTCTGTACATGACATGGCTGAAATGTTTGAACTTGTTCCAGAAGATAATATTTAAAAAAAACAAACAAACCATAATGTTTAAATTATGAGAAAGCAGATTTTGGTTGCACACCAGAAATAATTTCCTAATGATAAGAACTATTCAATTATAGAAGAGACTGCATCAGGAAATATTTTCATAGGGGGAAAAAAATCTTTCCAGATTGACCATAAGGCAAACAAAACAAAAAAATGTTTAGCAGGTGGCAAGATAAAATAGCTTTATCTTTCTGGCATAATACTTATTTAAACTTGTTTTAGCTTTGTTTTTACCTGGTTTCTTTTACCGATATATTGCACTATATAGGTTTTATATGCTTTTATGCTTTCAACTGTATATCATCCAGAGTCACTCTCAGAGTAAGATGGGTAGTACCTAACTTTGACAAAAATAAATACATAAAAGTGATACGGATCAGATTAAACATTATTAACCTAATCTAGGGGGGAAAAGATGCCATATTATAAACTATGCATGATTACATCCTCAGAACAAAATTCTATTAATGAAATACCTCTTAAGTTCCTTTTTTTTTTGAGAACTTGCTTACATGATATCATCTAAGAGATCCAGCGAAGGGGCTGTTTTAAAGGTGATTGGCTGTAAAAAGACATAACTCTGAGACATAATACCAGCAATGTTGAGTTCCCCTGGATGATAATATTTATGAAGAATAGGAAGAAGAATCTGGATTCCTAGAAACATCAGTCCTGATATAAACACCACTATCATGCTCTGTTACACTCTACTTTCTGGGAAGTCTTTCAGCCAGCTTTGTTGAGGTAGTCAAAGAGATGTCAGTTATCATAAAAAGCTGGATAATTACTCTCTTACTAAAAAGGTTGATGCAAATGTTGGGTGTGCCAAATGTCAAGAATGTGTTTATCTTGCTTGCTGTTCCATCTCTAAGTGGCAGAGGCTGGATTATTAGAACAAGTCTTAATAGTTTTGCTGCAGCCCAAGGACACTCTTGAATGAAAGGATGAAAAGATCATGGTAATCTTGATAATTGCAGGATAGATGGAATTGACAATTATTTAGAACTGCCAGTGTTTTGTTGACTTTAGATGAAATTAGTTGAACTTGCTTCCTGTTTGAATTGAGGGGAAGAAGAAATGGCCTAATGCATTCAATATGAGGGCAGCTAATTGCAATGAATCCAGTACATTATAACATATTGGGATCCATACTTGTTCAATATATGTTCAATATCAGAATCAGAATAGAGCTGGAAGGGACCTTGGAGGAGATCCTATACACGGGTGGGTTGTACTTACCTTTACTACTGGTTCGCAACGGGGTCACGCACCACTCCCTCATGATGTCGGGGTCGGCGGGCGGAGCCTCCTGCCAGTTTTACTACCGGTTCTTGCAAACCTGTCCGAACCAGGGGCAACCCACCACTTATCTTATATCATTTCAGACAAGTGACTGTCCAATCTCATCTTAAAAACCTCCAGTGATGAAGCATCCACAACATCTGAAGTCAAGCTGTTCCTCTGGTTAATTGTTCTCACTGTTAAGAAGTTTCTCCTTAAACTCCAGGTTACTTCTCTCCTAGATTAGTTTCACATTCAGTGTTTGTTGTCTTGCTTTCTGGTGCTTTGGAAAATAAATTTACCCCTCCTCTTTGTGGCAGCCTCTTAAATATTGGAATACTGGTATCATGATCTCAATAGGGGCCTGGTGGCTCAGCAGACTGAAAGCATTGTGATTAACACCATCTGTCTGCAATTACTGTAAGTTCGAATCTCGCCAGGCTCAAGGTTGACTCAGCCTTCCATCCTTTCTAAGGTAGGTAAATTGAGGACCCAGTTTGTGGGAGCAATAAGCTGACTTTGTATAAATATACAAAAAGTATGAAGGCTATTGCTTAACTCATTGTAAGCCGCCCTGAGTCTCCGGAGAAGGGCGGCATATAAATCAATTTTTTTAAAAAAAATAGTCCTTTTTTTCTCTAGACTAGCCAAACCCAATCCTCCAACCATTCTTCATATGTTTTAGCCTCCAGGCCTTTATATTATATATTGATTAGATTAAAATTTTATTAGATTAGATTATTACATTAGATACCATATTTTCAGAATATAAAATGCACCTTTTTCCCCCAAAAAAGAGGGTGAAAATCTGGGTGCGTCTTATATTCTGAATGTAGCCCTGCCTAGCCTCGCAAACAGAGATTTCACAGGCTGAAAGAAGCCTCCAAAAGAAGCTTCAGAAAAAAAGCCTCAGAAACGAAGCTTCAGAAAAAAGCCTCTGAAAGGCTTTTATCTAAAATAATATGGCAAGCAACAAAAGAAGAATCAGTAAAGGTTCTAACCAAACTATGTTAACAAATCTGGAAAATGACACAGCAGATTGGAAGAGGTTAATCTACATGCCAATACCAAAGAAAGGAGATTGAACAGAGTACAGATAATCCTTCAGAAAAAAAGCCTCTGAAAGAAGGTTCAGGAAAAAAGCCTTTTTTTCTGAAGCTCTCTTTCAGAGGCTTTCAGAGGCAGAAAAAAAAAAGCAAGGCAAAGAACTCACAACCAACAAACCTGTTGCTAAAATTTACCTCTGGGAACAGCTGATTGAGAGTATTCCGAGAGGCCAATCCACCCACCAATCAGCTTTTTTCTTATTTTCCTCCCCAAAAACTAAGCTGCTTCTTATACTCTGAAAAATACGGTATGATGTTACGTTACGTTATGTTATGTTACGTTACGTTATGTTACATTACGTTATGTTGTTATGTTATGTCATGTCATGTCATGTCATGTCATGTCATGTCATGTCTTGCCTTGTCTTGTCTTGCCTTGTCTTGTCTTCTATTATTATTATATTTTATATCTTTATAATATCTTTTATTGCTTTTCATTCATTTTGAAAGGATATGCCCAAACAACTTATTGAAAGTGGTTTTGGGTTGCTGAGCAAAAAGATGGTATCTATGAAATAATTATTTTGCAGAATCCCAGAAGTAAGCAATCACATTATGAGAATAATTATTTCCTTGATTACTTAAGTGAAAAAAGAATCAAGTCTGTGAGCATGTAAGGCAACAAATACAACTTATTATCTATGAACAGAGTGTCCAGGATAAATCAGAAGACTAATTAGGAAAGAATAAGCAAGATGGGTGGCATAAAGTTTAATAAATAAGTAAATAACAATAACATAATAATACAACTTAATGATGAATCACATCTGTAATATGAAGAACCTCATTGTCATCTCCATATTTCTACAAAGATAATATAATTTTGCTCTACTCTAATTCTTTTACTGACATATTGTCATGATATATAGAAATTGTTTTGAGATTGCTTTGTTCTACTCTAATTCTTATTCTGATTCTAATTTAATTAGAATAGAATTAACGCTGATTAAAGAAACAATGGATGGAAACTATTCAAGAGGAGAAGCACACTGGAATTAAGAAGAAATTTTCTAACAATGGGGACAATTAACCAGTGGAATAGCTTGTTTTCAGAAATTGTGGGTGCTTCATCACTGGAGGTCTTTAAGACAGCCACTGTCTGAAATAGTGTAAGTGTCAGCGTTCCAAGTAACGCACCCATAGAGAGCAGAACTCCGAGGCAGATAGATTCCTCAAAGAACAATTTGGTTGGATACATCATATTGGCACAACTGATGAAAACCAACTCTGAAAATTTCCACGGTTTTCACATGGTTAAAAGTGAAAGTTCCCCCTTTCCCACAAGTCCCATCAAGTGCTGGCTGGTTGCTTGGTTACTTTCTCCTCCTCCTCCTCCTCCTTCCAGCCACCCGTTGAAATGACCTTGATTCCCACAGGATACTTTTTTTGTTTTGGCTACAAACTCCCAGCTATCTATTTTCCTCCCCCCTCCCACCCAGTGGCAATCTTAAAGCCTTAAAGATAGCCACAGCCAGATTCGCTTCAGGGTTGACAATAAGGTTACCTGCTTGAGCAAGGGGTTGTAGTAGAAAACTTCAAAGATCCCTTTCACCTGTATTCTGTTTTATTGATTGATTGAATGATTGATTGATTGATTGATTGATTGATTATTCTGCCATATTGGCATGATAAATGTAGATTGTTGTAGTATATATATATTTTTAAATTATACATAATGATAAATTAAAAATATGTTTGGGAAATAGCTTATCCAGGATTCCAGACAGCCTGTAACAGTCTTGGAATTTCCATACCACCCGTATTTCTATAGTTAACATTTGCAACTGATTTGTGAGTTTTTCCTCAGCTTCCTCAGCTTCCAAGGACAGTAACTTTTCCATGCCAGAACAATCTGAAGCAGTTCCACAGCAAACAGTAATTGGGAATACTTTGTGCCACACTAAGCTGGTGAAATTTTAGGACTGAATGATGGAGTTCAGTACCAGACTTACATAGAAAAATATTTCACAAGGAAGTAGATGGGGTTCCGGATATAAATAATAAGTCCTCTTCTTTTTGTACCATTCATTATGCCCCCCCTCCATTAATTCTATCACCATTGGCGAATATTCAAGAATTTACTGCTGCTTTTCTACCTATTTTATCTACTTGCATTTGCATGCTTTTGAACTGCTAGGTTGGCAGGAGCTGGAGCAAGTAACAGGAACTCTACTGTGCCATGCAGGACATGGGCCTTGAATCCAGCTGTCAGCTTTTCAGCTGACAAGCTCAATGTCTTTAACTACTGAACCATTGTGTACTACTTTGGTGGGAAGAGAGCAACATTCTGTGCACATCGGCTTATAGTCATGCTGGCCTCATGATCACAGAAGTGTTTTTGGACAACATTGGTTCTCTTAGCAAAGAAATGAAGTTGAGCACCATGCACTAGAATTGGACATGACTCGGCAGGGAAAACCTTTACCTTTATCTTTCTCGCTAATGGCTTCAATTGATGGCAGTACATATTCCTCTTGAATGAACAACTTTTCAAAATCTGAAAGCAATGTAGTGTTGTGGACAAGGCCCCTGAACAGTCTCATTCCCTGTTGCCAACTTCCCCCAACCCACTCCAATTTTAGAATATCATCCTTATAATGGTTGGGCAAGGTTAAACCCAGATGTCTACCGCCTTCTGTCAATAACAAAAACAAAGCATGTCACTGAATTTTAGCCTTTATCCAACAATTTCAACAGTAGAGAGAACTTTTCCATGCTTTTTCCATGCTCCAGGTCTTGTATAATTTTATCCTTTAAATTCAAGTTCCTCGTATACTTTTCTTTTTTACTTCTTTCCTCTTCTTAGAATACTTTTGTTATTTATTTCAGGCCTAATCAAAATAATATAACATTTGGGAAAAAAGATACAGCTCAGTAACCCAAAACTGGATGCTACAATGGAAAAGATCTCCACAGCCACCATATATTTTCCCTTTGTACTCAGATAAGTGGGAATAAAGGACAACCAAACACTGCAAAATACTAACATGCTAAAAGTGATAAATTTGGCTTCATTAAAACTGTCAGGCAGCTTTCTTGCTAGGAAAGCCACTGTAAAGCTCATAATGGCCAAGAAGCCCATAAAACCCAAGACACAGTAGAACATAAAGACAGATCCTTCATTGCATTCCAGAACAATTTCTGTAGTCATTGCTTGCATGTCCAAATTTGGGAAAGGGGGAGATATAGATAGCCATATAATACAAATGGTAACTTGAATGAATGAGCAACAAAGAATAATGGAGGTGACCATCCACTTCCCCATCCATTTCCTCATCCCCGATCCTGGCTTTGTCACCATGAAGGCCAGAACCACAAGGATGGTTTTAGCTAACACTGAAGAAACTGCCACAGAGAAAATGATGCCGAAGGCAGTTTGTCGTAGGAGGCAGGTTATCTTTTTTGGGTGGCCAATGAATAGGAAAACACAAAGGAATGAAAGCAAGAGGGCAATGAGGAGAACGTAGCTGAGGTACTGGTTGTTGGCCTTAACAATGGGGGTGTCCTGGTACTTGAGGAAAGTCCAGAGCACTAGTACCGTTATGAGAGAAAAGGAAGAAGCAAGAATGACCAAACCACTCCCTAAAGGTTCTTCATAAGATAAAAAGCTCATTGTTTTTGGAATGCATGAACTGTGTTCTGGATCCGGATACTGGTCTTGTGGACACTGGAAACAGATATCCATATCTAAAAAAGCAAGCAGAAATATAATTGTTTTCACTAACATTTCTGCAAACAATGCTCAAATTTGTATGAATGTTCTAAGAAAACATCCATAAGAGCCGTGGTGGTGCAGTGATTAGAATGCAGTACTGCATGCTACTTGTACTGCCTGCCGACAATTGCTGCCTGCAATTTGGCAGATCAAATCTCACCAGGCTCAAGGTTTGTTTGT